AAACCTTCACGAGGGTAGATCAGCAAATTGATAGAAATAGATCAGGTAGGAATTTTGAATTCTTCTCAAAATACTTATATCGGGGCTGCCTGAATAGTGCTGCGCCCTGTTAACAAAGCTGCGAATTAGTTAGAAATGTTATATTCTCTGAGTTTTTTACTCCCTGCATGGGGTTCGAGGATTTTTAAGAAGACTGTATCGATGCGTAATGTTTGAAAACACGACCTTAGCCCGAATGTATACTAAGAAGAGCTTATAACTGCTAATTTGAGGTTAGGCGCCAAATTTAAATGAATTTCGGATCAAATATGGTTACACGCTCAAAGAAAGATTTTTTGACTTAACCCTGCAGCACACACGCTAGTAAAAGTTATTCGAGCACATGTGGAAATTTCTCAGATGTATCATTAGAATTTTAGCTTATATTGCTTCAAAAGCTCACAGTACGGTGTTTCAGGGACAAATACATATTAAACACTTTTAAAACCATCGAAATTTTAAAATATTAATGTGCTACTGTTTTTCAATAATAAAAACAAGAACTAGATTAAAAATTTGCATCAGCTGTAAATTGCACTGCACGCCTGCAGTATGCTGCGCTTTACGCGCTTTGACTGATATTATTGCTGTGTCGACAGCATGAAAATAATCTCAGTCAAACCAACAGGCACTAATTGGGAACTACAAATGTGAGAACAATTATAGAGAAGTTTTTAGAACGACAGTGTTCTCAGAAATTTTCTATGTCGCTCTATCAATGGAAGAACAACTCAGTCATCTGAGAGATCGGCCGCGTCTGCCGCAGGGTTAATTTACACGTAGATTGTCAAAAAAGTAATGTAGACTTTTCATCGTTACGAGGAAGACTGATGCAACCAGTTTCCCGGAGAAATTTTTCATTTTCTCTTCTTTGCTACTTCCACTCGCGCGATTCCAATATTCTTTAATATGGCAGCGACAACCCGGCAGAGCTTGCACTGAGTCTCTGAAGCCCAGATCAATGAATACAGTGCTTCTCTGGTAGACATCCCCACGATAAAGATCTGGTGTTCCTTATACCTTCCTGTATTATCTCTAGTTGCGTGATAAGCAGTGACATTTTCCCAATGGGATTTTGAGAAATAAAAATTTTGATACGTGTTGGTTCCCGTAGATCAGCGGGCATTGCTGTTACAACATATAATGGAATTTATATTAAATATTTCTTAGGCAACAAAGATGCACGCAACACTGGCAGAATTTTTAAAATCTATTTAGCTTAATTACTCGAGAACGAAGCGTTCTAGGAACTTAAAATATGGCATTTTGGGATCCAAGGTCTTAGAGAAATGTTCTTTGTATCGTAATTTACAGGATGAGAGCTTCTTGGACATTCTATTAAATTTTGCTTGCCCGCCGCTTCTCGGAACAACCCCACCTATTCGGATACTTGCAGAATATGCAACTGTATGTGAAATTAAACTAATTTCTTGATATTCTTCGTGATTGAATGGCACTGGTGGGACTCAAAATTTGGTAATAAAGTTAAATAATATTCCAAAGAGTAGGGTAGTACATTCCCGATGCAGGACTTGAGCAGTATGCGTGCTACTTTTTGGAAAACCAATAATGCTTCATTTTGTTGAGCAGCATTTCTTCGTGAAGAAATTTTGCTGCTCTAGGTCACTTAGTTTCATTGCAAAATTATAATTAAGTAGTTTCAGAATTTTCAATTAATGAATATTTACAATTACCAAATAATTATGTAAACTTCTACAGATCTTATCATTTAAAACAACATTTGTTCTTTAATGACAATTAAAAAATAATTCAAACATTTGCAGAACTGAAATTTTTCTAACGAAAGTTAATACTGTAGGTGTATGTATAAATTACTATTGCCGTCGCCATCTTGCTACCATCGCCGCCCATACTATCACCGCCGACGCTTCGACCAATCTCGTCTAATAAATTCGAGTTAATCTTCATTGATCAAAACAAAACACATCATCTTCGTTTATCATAGTAACAATGATTCTTGTAAAACTTCATTTCCGATGCAAATGTCTTAATATTATCGCCAAATTGAATGTTTGGGTACACATTATATTATTAACTGTTCTGTACATATATCTTATTTTTCATTACAATTCTTAGTTTTATTTCTAAATATTTAAATGGATCGCATCGTCCATAATCATGGTTTACACTACAATCAACACGGCCATCACAGAAATGTAAACAAGAACTACTTAAAGAATATCATTTATTTATTTTGCCACTTTGTTGCGGGACAATAAAAATTTCTCAGTGTATCTATCCATTACTTCAAAATTTTATTTTATTTTTCAGAAATGTAAGAATATTTTATATACAGAGCCTTTAATATCAGGTTAAAAACAGAAAAGAGAATAACACATCGTGTCGGCAAATGTGTTCTAACGTATTTGTCAATGATATGATCAAAGATGCGTCTACATTTTTCAAAAGCGTTCTCTCTCTCTCCTGCAGATCAATGAAGGGAAGTGGTACATATTTCAGTAGACGATGACACGAGGAAATGCACAAAGGACAAAAAGCCTGACACTCGATTGGAAGGCACCGGATCACTTCAATGCATTATAATATCGGAGCTAAATCGAGGAATAACAACGCAATGGATATCTTTTCCTGGTGTAGTAATGTCGGGCATTGAGTATCGCGTTTTCTGCTCCACATATTGTGGCTCACGTGCTGGAAAACAAATGTTGTTAGACCAGGGTCTGTGTGTGTCTGTTATTTGCTGTATTTACTTTTATTGTACATTATTTCTTTTGAAGTATTATTTGATAGTAGAATTACGGGGTTAGTAGAATATGTTTAGTATGTAAAATTTGTAGTGTTCGAAAACATGCCATTTTCATTTTCTTAGCTTACGTGAATTTTTGTTAAAAATGGAATAAACTAATACCAATTTATTGATGTGCATTCAAAACTATAGTAATAATAATAATAATAATAATAATAATAATAATAATAATAATAATAATAATAATAATAATAGCTACTGTCGTGGAGCTGAATGGCCAAAAGGCGTATTACCCAGATCATAGAGGGAACAGTCAAACAAGAGATCACATGTCAGCATGGTAAAAACGACTGGTGAGAGAAGTAAATGAACTCAGATCCAGAGCTGACATCATAAAAGAATACCTTAACAATAACCATACCAAGAGAGTAGTTAGGAAAACAACAATCCTAGCAACAAAGGCAAGCATAAAACTGAATTGTACACAAAGTACCAGGAATCTTGAATCTTTACCTGGCACTTTTAGGCAAAAGGTAAACGCAAAATTAAGTAGACTCTGTCGATACAATGAACTTATAAACAGAAAGAAGTAAAACGCCGAATTTCACAGTAATTGAAGGAGCTTCTTCAGGCGCCTGGAGGAAAATGAGTACAACCAGAGTACAACCCTAACTACAGAAGAAATAAATAAATTTAAAGAATACTGGAGTTCGTTCTGGTGACCCAAGGGACTTCAATAAAAATGTAACATGGCTGCCACAACATTTAAAATTCCGCCAATGAACGCTACAGGGTTCACTACCGTCTATATCACAAGAGCCACCAGTAAGACGAACTGGAAAACCCCTGGGCCTCACAAAATTCATTATTTCAGGCTGAAATACTTTCCCGCTATCCACAAGCCACTGGCTAAATGTAACACCAAATACCTTGAAAATCCTACATCAATTTCTAATTTTTTATGGAAGGGAACACGTATCTGCAAAAGAAAAAGGGAGACATATTACAATCACAAAAACAACGGAAAATCACCTTCCTATCGACAGGTGAAATATTATTAATATCAACTGCAAGACTTAGTCTATCTACGTTACTCTTGTTAATATATTCAATTTAAGCAGTTACCTGTTAGAGTCCACTGCATTCTAGGCCGTCGGTTCTTATATACATTTTCAATTTTGTTTATTTTCAGCGTTGTCTAATTATGTCGTGGCGTCTTCTTCCTTTCCACACGAGGTTTATACCATTCCACATCTCGAGGAACGGTCTACCGCCATCTATTGGTCACCACGTTGGTACACCTTCTGTTCCCTTAGTTGATAACACGCGCTGTTCTTCTGTCTCTAAACACGGGCAGTACAGTCCACATTTACGTTTCTCGTTAGTTCTATTGCGCTGATTCTCCCCTTCTTCAAATGCCTTCTCATTCCTGATGGGCTACCCTCGCAGCATCTTATTTAATTATTCCATGAACTATCGATTCTTGGGTTTGTTTCGTAATGTAATTAATTTCCGTGGAATTTCCGTGTTCATATGATATTCTAATCACCACCAATTCCAATAGTTTTTCCTTTTAGTCATACTGCCCCAGCTCTTACAATTTCATTATTTATTACGCTATATAATTCCTTTTTTATTACCCATTGTTGATGTCGTTTATCCTTATAATTTATACAAACTTTGTTTATATTTCGTTCTCAATATCTCACAAATCACCACAATATCTCACTTTTGAGGTGAAAAACATACAAGCACCGAGATGGAACTGAATGATGGGTAAAGAAGAAAATAACAGTCATCACCAACGATTGCGTGTTCTATAACAACTGTAGACTACCATAACGGTGCAGTAAATCTTCTTATTCAACGATACCCCGGACATCTAGAAATACAGACGGTTCTATTCCTGGAAGGTTACTTCGTGTCACGTGATTTCTAGAGTCACTTGTGAACCTGTTGGCAGACAAGAACTACAAATAATAAACTCCCCAGATTAAAAATAGAGTCAACTGGTTTACACAAATGATCAAATCATGTACGAAAACAAAACGATGAATGCCAAAAATCAATAAGCCGAGTATCAAGTACATGACATACAAAAACACTTCAAACCATTAAGTATTAACAACAAAATTGATATAGCGTGTACTTGTCGATCCAGTAAAGAATAAAAAAAGCGCGTTCAGACTAGTGAGCAAATATTAAGGTGGTAACTACCCAGCCTAACGGTATTATGACATGTTCTTGCAAAAACAGAGACTTCCCGGGTTTGGAATTAAACGAAGCTCCGTTTGAAGTAGTCCTTCATCCCGAGTACACAAGTAAGTATTCTTAACTTGCGCTCCGAATCTATCTACAACGCACCTACTTTCTCGCATTAATAATGGTTACGGAGAATTATAATAAAAGTTAAACGAAAATAAGAACGAGAATTAAAATTTACTGATATACTTCACAGAAGTAATTTTCTTGAAATTTTCAATAATATCCAAAATTTAGGGAAAATTAGGATTTCTTCATTCTTTAAAACGTGTTTTGCTCTAGTTGCGGAAAAATTACAGAACAAATTGAAACTCTTTGAGATTTTTTAAATATAAATTTCATTTTTTTCAAGCAGAAATAACACAAAAACTGCTAGTTTTCTCAAAATCAGTACATGTCCTCTTTTAGAGCCCTAATTTTTTTGAACAGATTTCATTTCAGACAAAAATCTCATTCTTCTATATTGCAATTTTGCAATGTTAATTGTTTGCAATTTTCGAAACTTCTTACTGTTAAAAAAATGAAACCTGCATCTCAATTTTTGAAGCGTCCTCTACGCTATTAGGGCGTACCTGAAGAATGAGCATTGTTCGCGCGAGACTTCTCTCTCTCTACCGTGTGCTTTCCGTACTCTCTCCTTACCCATTACTTACACACACATTTATATGCAGTTCTCCACCACACATACAGGGAGGCCAGTCGGGTGCTTAGACCGTGTCCCGGCTCGGACAGAGCCTTGATGGTGGGATATGCCTGGTTGAGGTAAAACAGCTGACATGTAGGTCGGCGCCGGATCTCACCAACCAGCGTGAGATCACTGCCACTTCTAAGACAAACGTGCACTGCATTTACGGGACTAATTACCTTAGCAGTTAACGCACCCGGAAACACTAATCATTCAATCAATCAAGCCACTCAAAGCGAAGAACTTCCCGGTCTGCAACGCTGCAGAGGAAACGGAAAAGTTGTAACGCACCCGGAAACACTAATCAATCAATCAAACCACTCGAAGCATAATACTTCTCGGTCTGAAACGCTGCAGAGGAAACGGCAAAGTTGTAACGTACCCGGAAACACCAATCAATCAATCAATCAATCCACTCAAAGCGTAGTACTTCTCGGACTGCAACGCTGCAGAGGAAACGGCAAAGTTGTAACGCACCCGGAAACACTAATCAATCAATCAATCCACTCAAAGCGTAGTACTTCCCGGACTGCAACGCTGCAGAGGAAATGGCAAAGTTGTAACGCACTTGGAAACATCAATCAATCAATCAATCAGTCCACTCGAACCGCAGTACCTCCCGGACTGCAACGCTGCAGAGGCAACAGCAAGGTTGCGTCTGAGCGACGGCAGGCGGTCGTGTTCTCAGGGGAGGTGTCGGCGCGCGCCGCTTGTGCAGGCCGCCGCGAGCAGCTGTGGGCCGCCGCGCACCGCTTCCCGTTCGACTACGCGCTGCCCAACAAGCTGCCCGCCAGCTTCCACGGCCGCTGCGGCTACGTGCGCTACTTCTGCGAGGCGGCGCTAGAGCGCGCGGGGGCGCCCGTCGTCGCGCGTCGCACGCTCTTCAGCGTCAGCAACGTCTCCGACCTCAACACGGAGCCCAAGGTACGCGCCTGCACGGGATGGCGACGCACACTCACAGATTGAATCGCATTCATTATGTCTAAAAATATGTTCACGTAACTTTTATAAATAGAACGCCTTACGGCCTATTTTCTTGTTTTTTGATGGTCACAGTTCTATATTTCAATATACTGAGCGGGCCTTTCCAGTTCAGTTACGGGCATCAATCCGTACCTGCGAACGCTAGTACCCAAAGGGTTGCCTAACCATCGGAAACAAATTTGTAGCATTATAAGACATTTCCCCATCGCCTGTTCGTTGTAATGGTATTCGACCCTGGCCTCCCTCCGAGGTTGAGCGAAACGAAGGAAGGTACCGGGAGAGGTGGCTCAGGCCATCCACTGATGTCACTGCAGTGCCTCTGACCGGCAGGTACTAGATTCGAGTCCCGACGGTCGCAGGATTTTTCGGCACTTGTCAGCTAGGTCGCATTCTGGACAAGAATTCTATCGGTTGGATGCTCTGCTCGGTAGTTTTTCGTGCTTTCTTTGATCAATTCCATGCGAATGCTGAAGAAATACCCAAAAGTGTTCAAGCAAAATTTGACAGTACTCGTTAATGTCGGCGCCAACAAGCATACATATCCACACACGTACGCTAATTTTATACTGTAAAATTATTATTACTGTTATTATTAATTATATTAGTGTGCTTGCATTTCCTACAGTAAAACAAACTATTTCATAGAAATCAATCTGCCTTTGTGTTTGAAAGTAACTATATTTTCTCTCTATAAAAGTAATTAAATAATAGCATTTTTATTATTTTTTGTTTATATTTGTATTTATAATATTATTATTTGTTATTAATATCTGTATTTTTCAGTGGCTGTTTTTTATATTAGGAGTGACGCTATGAATCAATGAAAGAAATTTTGATTATTTATGTGTTATGAATCTTATCATCACTTGGGTAGAGTCTTCTCAAAATGATTCGTTCCATGCAACATTTCCTTCCCCAGCCTTTTTTATTTACCTCTTTTTTTAAAATTAATATCCTTAAATCGACTCGAAACAACTTTTTCAACTATAAAATTGGTCTCCCAACTATTCGAAAATCGGATATTTGATTTTTCATAGTTGTCACAAATTAGTGTTTGGTAACTGTCTCAATAAATTACTCGCGTTGCAACAGGTGGCTGTACAAGCGAGTGGTTTCGCAGGTCGCTTGATAATAAATGCGTACGCGGCCATGATCACAAAAATGAGCAATTATTTCTGGTCTCTGTCGAGAACTCCCATTAATACGACGGGTCATCCTCCTAAATTGATACTAAATGGCTATCAAACAATATCAGCAGAGTTGCAGATAGCTCTGGAACTACTGTAATCTGAAATCGGTTTTCGGACCTTCGTAGCCACTCGTTCTCACTGCCAACAGCTTGTGTACAAACAATTGATTGAAAGTTTTTGATATCCAACATTTATTTCTTACAAAAGCAATGAGTTCTTTGTCAATCTGTTGAAATAAAGAAACGAAAAAGTAAAGAAATTATTTTCAAGTTCAGAACCCTGTAATAATTTATTCTCACACCTTTCATTAAGTACATTTTACAGTGTACTTCTTTTGAACAACCTGATATTTTAATGCGGAGCTTACGATATCAGATTTTTTTGCGTCTATTTTACATTGTGATTTTTCTAAACAGAAAATATGGTGAAGATTAAAGAACGAACCAAAATTTTGAAACTGTATGATTGACAGTTCATTTAACTTAATTGTTTCCTACAACTTCTTGAAAACAATAGTATACCAAAATATATGTGTATACTATTTTGCCTTTCCACTTATTATATATATATATATATATAAATATATATATATATATATATATATATATATATATATATACGAATAGGAATTTTGAAAAAAATCTCAACTATGCGAGAATAAATCCTTATGAAAATGAAATTTTTAGACATTGAAAATACTATAAATGCAAGGTATTCTCATATTTTTGCGGGAGATGCACTGTCACTTTATCCAACCTCTATCAATTTTGCTCCTAATGAAATAATGGCTCTGAAATACAGCTTTATTTATTGGGTGTTGAGGTTCTTTTCAATACGAAATAGCTTCGCTTATAAACGTCGAGAAACAGTTCTGGATCATGTGGTTCTCATTGTTCGTTTCTTGGAAACTGTAACAACAGTTGGCAGAAGAGTTGACCGCCTCTGAAAAGAGAAACCAATGAATTTTCAGCTGCAGGGTTCCAGGAACTTCGTTCTCTTGATTTGATATGCGATGAAAGGATACCTGTTCTCGCAGAATCATTAAGAGCAGGAACTCGCAGAAACGAATCAAATCTATTTCCGTATTACACTTGCGCTCCACTGCAGCCCTTATTGAATTAAGTGTTTTTGTAACGCCCTTTTGCTGCTGTACTCAGATAGTGCTTAAAAAGATGGAATTTATGGGTTAAAACATATTTGAAGGAGGTATTACAAAGTCAAAACACGTTTTGGAGATAAATTGCGTTTTAAGGGGTGTAAAGAAATAATACGAGTCACGTGTCGTTCGATATAAATCGTTTAACTCAATCGTCAGTATATAGGAAGCATCATTTTACTTTTACTTTCTCGTTTCTTTTACTAACTTACTTCCTAAGAAGAGAAATTTATGTAGTGGTCTGTCGGAAATCGGCGAATTTTCAGCAGAAAAACTCTTATTGCCGAATCCTGGTAACGAAGCAGTAGATAAATCCTTTTGCTAAACATAGGGTAAAGTCCCTCTAACAAGTGGTATACCCAGAATTCATTTTTTCGCTCATTTTTTCTTGAAATTTTTTCAAAGATAGAAAAAGGAATGCTTAAGAGAATGTCGCGAGTCTCATTCTCAATAATTCGAGAAAGTACGTGCTGTGAAGTTTCGCTTAATCGTTGTATGTTAATCTTTGTATGTATTGTATAGAATTTATTTTTATACTTCTCTCTTTGTGTTTTTAATTTATTTTTGCTGAGTTATTTGAATTATGTATATTTTTACTTTCTTGCTAAGGAGTACAGAAAAAAATACGTAGTGCTGTGTGAAAAAACGGTAAATTTTAGGCAAAAACATTCATTACAGGGCCCTGGTAGTGAAAAACTGGACAAACCAGTTGTTAAATATAGAAAAAAAAATATCTAAGGCCCTGTATTACCATCGTCAGTTAAAGTTAGAGTTAACCGGACGTTAGCGGCCGAAATTCGTATTACTCGTACAAGCCTCAGTTAAAGATAAATCGGAGGTTTACCTGAAGGTTAAGTTAACCGGAGGTTAAAATAAGGGTTTCTGAGTTAACTGATGATTAGCTGAAATGGCGAATGTAATAAATGTAGAAACTGATTCTGAAGACGTAATGCTGTTGGAAAATTTCGTTAATACCAGACGGCTCAAATGTTTGCGGCACAGACGGGATAATTTCGGAGAGTGGGACTGCGACGAATTTTTCGCACGTTTCAGTATTACGAAACAAAGTGCTTTATTCGTATTGCAACAGATTAAAGATGAACTGGAATACGTTACAGACAGGTATGAGGATGTATTTAATAAATCCTTAATGGCACTAGATATAGTATGTTCCCTCTGTAGGTAGATGTAGGACCTTTCCTTGACTTTCTCTCTGGAGTTTTGAAATAATGTTATGTTGTAACCTCCTGGCCTGTAAGGCATTGAAACGATATATTATTGAATTTGACATCTTTAATATTACTGTCTTATTAAATATTAAGTAGGCCAATGAAAACGATTATTTAATTAGCACTCATATACGCATTGTTTGCCCTGGTGGAAACAATGCTGAAGTTTTTCGAAACGGGAAAGGCTACTTCAGCATCAATGTGCTAACCGTTGCAAGCCAGGACGTGCGCATTCAAATTATATTTGCACGATGGCCTGGATCAAGACACGATGCTACAATATACAGAAACTGTAATTAAGGTTCGGGTGGAGAGAAGGGATATTTTTGAATGGAGTGCTGCTTGGCGACGCAGGATATTCTAAGGGAGCAACATTGTTGACATCTCTTTGCAACCCTTATTTACCAGAGGAACATTTGGATAATAAATCGCACATTAGTACACACAACACTGTGGAAAGATTATGCATTGTTTGGAAAGCAAGATTCTCTATTTTGGCACTAGGAATAAGGCAAGATACATCACTAGTGCAGCCCATAATTGAGGCATGTGCTGTAATGCACAACATTGCCATTGAGAGGAAGGAAGCAGATCCTCCACCTGGTCCAGGAATGGATCAAGAACAATTGCAATTGGCAGTTCAAGAAAGGCAGATAACTCCTGCCATAAATTTAGAAGTGCCACAAAGGGAAGCGGTTCGGGAAATATTTGTGAGGTTGTTCAGAGACAGAATTCATAGAAATTAATGCTAAACATTTATTTATGGTTAAATTATGTTTCAAAATAAAATCTACAAATGCTTAAAATTATTTAGTGCATCTCCTTTGCTTCTACGTCCTTTTCTATAAGTTTTTTCTTCGTTCTTATTAAACGAAGTTCTTCTTCTTTAATCCTTATGTTAAACGAATGAAGCTCTTTCTCTCCCTTCTGCTGTACTTCAAATTCCTTCTGCAACAATTCCTTCTGCAGAAAGGCCACTTCAGTCCTTGCAGAAGCCCAGGAGTGCAACTTCTGCCCACTCGCAGAAGGACTGATTGTTGTGTCGCACATCTAAGGTCGTCTTCTTGATGCATTCGGTGTCACAATCAAAGTCGGATTTCTTTTCCGCTTCAGCATAGCGGGCGTATATTTTGACCATTCCTGCAATTCGCTTTCACTACCCTGCATTGCAAACGTTCCAATTATTCGATATGTAAAATAGGCCGGTCAATTGTCTCAGTTAATGTTTCTTCATCTTCTCCTCCTCCTCCTCCTGCTGCAGCTGCTGCTTCTTCTTCAACCATTGTGCTTATGTCATCGTCATCACGTGTCGATGTCATTCCTGCAGTACTTACTCCTATAATCCCAGTAACTTTTTACAAAATAGGATCCTTTGATACACTAGTTGCTGAGCCTCCTCCAGTTCTGAAGATTTCCTGCCCAACATTTTCTTCGTTTCTTTTTTCAGGCTGTCATTTTCTCTTTTAATTGCTTGACAGTACGGCTCTTCTTTTAATTGCTTGACAGTACGGCAAGAAGCAGTGGCTGCATTGAAATTGAGAGTATTGTTCTCTCAGGTTTGGTCCTGCAAAATTTAAAAACAATTAAATCAATAGATGAATGACATATTGAAAAGGTAAATATTAAAGTTAATAAAAGATATCAGAAGAGTAAATTGAATTGAGAATTTTGATACGAAAGATAGTAAAATTTTTATTTTAAATTCCTTATTCCTGGTTGCATTGGACTTTCTGCTCTCCACAATTCCAACATACTGATCAACTAGATTGACCGGTGTGGAGCATTCTTCCCGCGTAAAATTGGTGGAACCCTTCTTTTTCATGCTCGACATTTCGCCGGAATTTTGCATTTCGGAAAAGGCACTTAACAAGCGAATTATGCTGCCGTCGACTGACTGTCGCCAAGCCCAAAACACCGGAAACAAAACAAATCTCCAATCCTGCAGTGAAAAAGTGAAAGTCGCACGAAAAGTTGAATATCAAACACATTATGCGGCACTTTATTAATCGTTTTGAGCTCTAGAAAGTATTGCCAACCAACACCGAGTAAACGTTAAAGTGAGAGTTAGCTAACTTCCAGTTACCTCACACTCGTAATACACAAAGTCCATTTTAACCCGAAGTGACTTTAACCGGGAGTTAGTTAACCAGCGGTTATAACTAAAGGTGGTAATACAGGGCCTAACATGTGTTGTATCCGGAATTCATTTTTTTGAGTCCTTGACTCTGAAACATGGATTGACGACAAAACGTTTGTCAGTCCATCTGCGAACAACACTAGCGGCTACAAAGTTCGGCCAATTTTCTTCATAATTGATATTCCTTAATCGATCTAGCTGATTTCGCGGCCTCTTGAATTAAAAAAACTGATATTTTAATTTAAGGGTTCTTTTCATTAAGCCCCTCGGATATTTTGAAAATTTTGAAAACAAATGCCTCAATCGTTTATGATTAAATTTGTAGTTGGATTGTGCGAATGACGTTTGAGAAAATAGTGCAGGTCTCATTTCCGTTGAATACCCTGATATTTCATAAATTACAAAAAATCGAAATGTGTCTGCGTGTTCCTACACATACAACTATGAAAGTAGATTCTTCCCATAATGAAATCTGTTTTGTAAAGATAGATTTTGACAATGTATAATTTTTCAAACATCTGAATAATTTTCGCGTTATTTTCTGTGAAAGTACGAGCAATAAACTATTTTACCACACTACGTTAAGAATTGTATGTATTGTGATTTTGAGTTTTTATTTTTCTACATTCTTTTTTTATTAACTCCCACCAATAGTCGGATCCACTCTAGTCTAGTCGGATCCACTCTAGTCTAGTCGGATCCACTCTAGTCTAGTCGGATCCACTCTAGTCTAGTTTGATCAAGTTTAGACTAATCTAGCCTAATCGAGTTTAGACTAATCTATCCTAATTGAGTTTAGACTAATCTAGCCAAATTGAGTTTAGACTAATCTAGCCTAATTGAGTTTAGACTAATCTGGCCTAATTGAGTTTAGACTAATCTGGCCTAATCGAATTTAGACTAATCTGGCCTAATCGAGTTTAGACTAATCTGGCCTAATCGAGTTTAGACTAATCTAGTATAATAGAGTTTGATCTAGTTTAGACTAATCTCATCTGATTTAATGGGGCGTGTGCCGACAGGCGGAGAGCGGGGCGCACGCGCAGCGGAGCTCCAACAGCTGCCTGTTCTGCTGCCGGCGGGGCACTGTCATCGCGGCGGCGGCGCTAAAGCGCGCGGGGGTGGCGCCGGGCGAGGCGCTGCACATCACGGCCGACGTGCTCAACATGAGCGACCGGCGCGTGCACAAAACGTGCGCGCGACTCACGCAGGTGAGCACTCACTCACGCAATAACTAATTGTTGACTGGTTAGTTCAGGTTTCCGGACACGTCAGCTGCTAAGGTAAGTCGTCCCGAAAGAGTAGTGTATGGTATCATTGGAGGTGACGGAGATCCTTACTCCTCTCAATAGTGAGATACGACGCAGACCTGGTCCGTTTCTCAGATTTTTCCCATCCAGGTATTTCTCACCAGCGGAGCACTGTCTTCGTTGGCACAAGCTATAAGCTCTCGACTTGTGCGACATTGTAGAATACGTAAGTGTGTGTAATTAAGGGGTGAGGAGAAAACAAGAAAGATGGGAAGATGGCGCGCGGTCCGTGGCACGTTTGTTAGAGTCCTGCTGTGGTTTTCGCCTAGTGTGGATCGGGGAAACCATGGAAAACTAGCGATCAGAGAATCCGACCGCTAGAAGTTATTTTCGACAAAGCAATAACTATTCTTAAAGCCTTTTTTTATACGGCACAGTGTTCGCACAGAGTCCTACACAGAAACTATAAATTAACTTCAAGATCTCTGACTCTGATATATGATGCCGAAAGTTGTTTTTACGGTATTTGCACGTTTTCTGTACGCGTTGCCACAAGACATTGCAATTACACTGCCGATAAACCGTAATGAATTTCGCCGTTCGACTACATTCATTGGAGGCATTCGCGTACACGTGTTTTCAGCGTGTGTGATTTTTGAGTATCAATAAAGCGTGAGAGAAAAAATAGAAAGTCTATCATCTTGGTCGCCTCAAGGTTGCTTGTATCTGCGACAGCTTTAGCGGATGCGCAGAAAAAAGTCTCTGAATGGTTGAACTCTTCACTGCAGCAGCGAAATTTAATAACTTCATATTGTAAGTCAGTAAAATAAACTCTCCAGAAAAACTGAGAGCTCGAATCTGCCTCTCCAATACATAAAATCTCGCAACCGCACCTAACGTCACCTCACAATTGAACCGGTTCATCAATTTCCTCCGTAAATAAATCTGTGAGCGATTCTGCTAGTAGAGGCACTCGAGTCAAACTGCACACTTTGATTAGGATAAAGACATCCTTATTAAATTCTTTATTAGTATTCGTACTTGGTGAACCTACGCTAGTGTTCCATCGATTAACAGTTCTCATTGCCAGACTAGCTCAGTGAAATTCTAGAGGTAGGGCAGAACAGGGTAATTAGAGCCTTTCAAAATGTTGGTGTTTGTTGCTAGCTGCGGAGATAATATGGTGAGTGGCAGCAGTACTCCCTGCAGCTCACGGCAGATATTTTTCGTCACTTCAGGACTTTTGCATTGTGTCTCAAAACGAGTTGAGTAATTCTTTCTCGCTAGCCCTTTCTACTCTTGCTCACGTCTTTGGTAAAAAAATTATACGTAGAAAAAAGTCTTAATTGAATAATTATTTCCACCATTTACTAAAATTACGCTCAAAGTGTTGAGTTTTGACTGAGACATATGAATGAAATGCAGTATTTTTGATATTCCTTTTAAAACTTCAATATAAAATATATGTGAAAGAAGTACCAATAGCCTAATTAAACGGGCATTAAGAATATACTCTTATTACTCTGAGTCTTACTGCTCCTTAAGAAAAGTTTTACTGCCGTTGGTAAAGAAACTTATATTAACTGTGTTATTGGAATATTTCCTTTCATACTTCATACTTCAGGCTTTGAAACATATAGTAATTTGCACTGTGAAATACACCATAGACGCTCAAACAAGGAAAATATCTCTCAAAATGAAGAAATATGTATAAATAAAATTTTAGTTTCTGTCGGTGATTTCAAAATGATTGCCATTTTACAATCCCATATGTTTTAAATGTGTTTTTCAAATGTAAATTGTCTTTACGATTTTATTCTGTGACTGCCCGGAATAAGCACTTAAATGGTTAGACAGAATTCGTTGTGGATTTCAGACTGTCAGGCGTAATTTAAAATACTTTTTTCAAAATATTATTTTCTCTTATACAAAGTGTAATGTTTGTTTGTTTTCATACAAATCACACGTATAGTTTTCTTCCGTTCTTAATGAAATGTTTTACTTGTGACCTTCCAAACAATAGGTTATTATCTACCTAAGATTTCATAAAAATACCTTCGCTACTTCTTAGTACAACATTTAAATCTGCAACTTTTCAACCGTTTATCAGTATTTCTATAAGGATGAGAAAATTCCTGAAAGAACATTAAATATTTGTTTCATCTCATACAAGTTCCAACTAAATGCTTTTAAATGTATTCCATTACACAATCATGCTTTGAATAATTTCAGGTTAAAAGTGTTACTAGAATTTGCCGAGAGAATGCAATAATTCATCTGTTAACAGGTACCCCAAGTCGATGATTATAGCGAGCATGGAAGGGTGGTGGGCTGAAGTGGGGCCACTTTTTTATTTGACTGATTAGTGATTCCGGGCACGTGAGCTACTGGAGTCATTAGTCCGTTAAGTGTAATGCATGTTTTCTCCCCTGGAAGTGGCGTTAATCTTTCCCCGCTGGATAGTGAGATCTAGCACCGAGCTACAGTCAGCTAGCGGTGAATTTCCCGACCAAGTATCTCCCACCAGTGGGCACCGCCCCAGCCGGAACAAGCTCGAAGTTCCCGTCTGGTCTCCCAGCACTTGTGATAGCGTAGTAAATGTACTCGGAAGTAGGATCACGTGAGGCAGGGGAGGACAAGGACACTATATAGAATTCTGCGTTTTGTTCTCTAAAAGAAGAATGTGTTAAATTGCAAACCACGGTACATATACTAGTACAATAATAAAATTAATGGATATTATTGGCTAAAGAATGACTATCAACTATAATAGGAGTAATTTCAGATACTATGGTAGTTATACACGTAAATTATTATATCTAAAATGTTCCAAAACGCTTTATTCAATTGCAGGTTTTCGTTTAGATTTTCAATGTTCTAAAACATCCTATTATGTTTCCCTACACGCTTCCCCTCTTGCACAAAAATGGTAACGATGACCTCAGATGTGTGTATTTTACAAGTTCACTCAAATCACATTCTATGATTTGCCCTTGATTTATTTTTAGATTCTAAGTTCAGCTCTCACGCTTAATTTTTCTATGGCGTGTCATTGAACGAGCCAGAATTATTGATCATTCCACAGACACAGATTCCACATTCTCCACAGCCAGCTCCGCGAAAAATTAAATATAGTTTCCATCGTACATGTTGTGGTTATTACGTTCATGCTATGACATTACTCACTAAAACATTCCAAAACGAGTGAATTTCAGAATGGATGGACTTGAAATTAATATTTCTTCAATAGCTGTTTTTTGCTTGACACGTCCCAATGAGAAACATCTCTCGAAATATCAGACTATTTTATTTTTCGTTATCTCTTTCCTTCTCTCTATAAAAATAATTTATACTAGGTATTAAAAAAGCATTCAGCATCAAATTAAAACGCAACAATTAAGGCAAAATAATTGGTTGTAGGGTAAAATAATTGGTTTTACCCTCTTATTCGGGGGTATCATTTGAGAGTGTATTTTTGATATGATTCTAACACTCACTTCCATCGTTCCGTGGTTGTTCAACGATTCCCGAGCCTCCAAGTAGCTATTCACGAAGTCTTCATTCGGGTGGATGAGAGCTGTGCAAACTCTCAGGTAGTCTTCGTCCATTCTTCCGAGGTTGCACAGCGGACAGGTGTCGTCGTTAGCAAGGCCGATGCGGTGTAAGTGAGCTTGTAGGTAGTCATGACCAGTATTCAGACGAAATCGGACAACGGCTTCGGATCCGTCCAAATTCCTTGAAATTGGTCCAACTGAAGCAAGATTCTCTCTTTTCTGCCAGTGCTTAGGGCCGTAAGGGACTTTTTCGTGACTTTGTTGGTCGCGGTAGTAGAATGCAGTCGATGCAATAGAAAGACATCTGTGTAGGTACCTGCAGAGAGACATATACTGCACCATAATGTTCAATCCCTTTCAAATAAACCCGAGATTATAGAAGCAGCTCTACAGGACGATTTAAATAAATCCATTGTTTATTTCATAATCAACTTAGCATTTTTCAAATTCCAAACTTTTACATTGCAGGTTATTATTGTAGAGAAAAGAATCCCATTAAGGATCAGCATATGGGGGTTCTTGTATTTACGTTAGAATCTACCTCCTTGACGGAATTAAATGTGTTTTCTGTTGAAAATGGTTTTGAAATATCAGTAGTACATCTTTCTACGCTAAAAAATTATATTACTTTGCATCTACAGGCCTCCCACCAAGAGAGCAGTAGATTATATTATGTTCTTTAAAATATAGAGCTTAAACTACACAAACACATCAATCGCTCTTTTGAATCCATTGTTGTAAGTGGAAATTTTAACATTGATTTTCTGGTCGATAAACGCGAGAAAGAGCAGTTTCTCAACTTCATTCATTCCTTCAGTTTAGATATTATAATAAATGTACCTTCACGGATCACACTAAATTCAAAGAAGGCTATCGATGAAATAGTAATTAACAAAACCACTACTCGATATGAAATAGGGACACGGTTTACCATACTGTTAATACAAACGATAAATATAATTCTTTTTTTAACGCTATTTCATTTTAACACTTGCTTTCCTCTTCAAAAAAGAAAATTAAATATTTCACGGAAATATAATTCTTGGATAACGCAAGGGATTAGGACGTCATATAAAAAAACGAATTCTTTCTTTATCTTCTAAGCATCATAACGTATCTCAATATTTCTTCCTCTAATTTACAAAATACAAATCGTTAAGAAAAGTCATAAGGCAGGCTAATATCATAAAACATGATCAGGATATTTTGATCTATAATAATAAAGCAAAAGCAAAAGGAATACAGTAACAAATTTGATCAAATCAACTAGAAACCTTGTGAAAAATATTTTTTTAATAAAACTATAGAAATGTGAATGATCCGGTAACAATAGCGTCTTTTAACCAATTCTTTTCGAGAATGGCTGCCGATCTCACTATCGGTATTCAGCCACTAAATTTAACATGAGACGTTTCCCCCAAAATTTTAGACTCG